AAGGTTGTAAATCTTTGATAAATGACAAGATTGAACCTTGAAAAACAAAGACCTCTTGATCCTAATTTAAAAGATACACCAGACTACATGCTCTTCTCTTACGAGGACCGAGCTAGTTTTCTCTTCTCATGAAGAGTCCATCTAGGGTTTGGCATTCAGACATGTATTAGGAGCGGATAAAATGGGGCATCTAGTACATGAAATGGCAAAGATAGTTGGTTTCTACTTATGTTAATGACGTTCAATGATGATCATGATCTTCTCAGATGGAATGGTCAAGTAGGTGAATCTAGTTTAGGTCAGTTGCTTGGGAATTGAACTCTAACGATGAGCTGACTTTCAAAAACACCTAGACTATAATAGGTTGTTCTTAACAAACTTAATAAATTGGACTCGTATACCCACATTATAATATTATATATATACAATAAAGCTTAAGCTATCCCTCTAAATCAATTGGTTAAATGCCCCGACTTTATGGATAAGATTCAGCTAACCTGATAAAGGTGATTATAATATACAATAAAGCTTGAGTTGTCCCTCTAGAGCAATTGGTTAAACGCAGCGGCTTTATGGATAAAATTCAGCTAGCCTGATAAAGACGATTATAATATCTATACAATGATATTAATTTGTCCCTCTAGAGCAATTGGTTAAACACCCTGGCTTTATGGATTCAGCTAGCCAGACAATGGCAAATTTAAATAAGGAGTTTTGGTAAAAATGGACTAAGGGAGTTAAGGAACACCTGTTATAGTCAACTTCATACGAGCACTCAGGAATTTCATTTTTAGACCGATATTTATGCATTGTCTTTGTTAGAGAAGCCTACGAAGCTTGAACAAATGGAAGATTTCAGAGAACTGAAACAGAAGTGCTCTGAAAGGTCTAGCCATTGATTACGCTAGTTGTGTCATTTTGTTCATCTCCGATCAAAATGTCAAATCAAGAAAGAGGGGGATGCCATGGTCTTCACGATAACCAAATCGATGAAACAAACCTTAATTTAAATTACCCACATTTAAACCAACATTTTGATCTTGATATTTGTCAAAGATTTGCAGCTATCAAAGCTTAAAAGAGAATTTGATTCTTTTGTTATAAACTCTTGTTTAATGATTTGCTTCAATTATGAAACCTAGAAGGAGGCAATATTTTCAAAACTCTTTCTGATATTTTTAAAATTTTGAAAATCCAAAGGAAGAAAAGCATTTTCAAACAAGATAAGTTCTTCGGGAGCATGTCTTGGAAATCAACGAATATCTCTCCGAAGCTCAAGATTGAAGTTGGGGCAAGAGAAGCCACATTTTTGGGACAAAATTTATTGGGGCAAGGAAAATAAATTATCTTAGGTTCAGGTTTGCAAGAGTACATCCTAGTGGAAATGAAGACAAAATGAGTCAGAGATAGAATGAAGACTGCTCACGTAATTATTCCCTCACAGATCAACATTTTGTACATCGGATTTAAGCATGTTGAAGAATCCAAGATCAAGAATCAGAAATTCAAGATTCCAGCATCAAGAGTTATCGAGACTGACAATCAAAGATTGAGATTTATCTCCAAACCCTAAAATAACATGTTTCGCATATACATTTTAGGCATACATAATAAGAGCATCACATTCATAGCATCGTATATGTGCATAATTTTGTAGATTTATGCTAGAGTTAATTTCAACTTCACATCAAAAGATATTGAACTCAAAAGAAGTGCAATTTAAAAGTGTAGATTTTAACTTCACAACGAAGGACATCCAATTAAAAGCTCAATTTCACGACGAATGAGCCATCCACGATTTCAAATTCACAAAGAAGGATATCGTGCCCGATGAAGTGTCACAACAAACATGTCATCCACATATTTGACTTCCTTAAGTCAACGATTAAAGCTTCTGAAAGGATTTATTTAACATGCATGAACAAGAAGATTATCGATCACCTTTGAGATTGTTTCTCTCGAAACAAAGGGTCGTCTCGCTCAAATCTAATTTACTCAAAACAAAGTTTTGTCTCTCTTGAGACAGTTTCTCTTAAAATAATTTTTGTCTCTCTTGAGACATTTTCTCTTAAAACAAATTTTGTCTCTCTTGAGACAGTTTCCCTTGAAACAAAAAACTTTAAATCTGTTTTCCTTGAAACAAATTTCATCTCCCTTGAGACAGTTTCTTTTGGAACTTAGTTTTGGCTCTCTTTAGACAAATTCTTTTGAAACAAATTTTGTCTCTCTTGAGACAGTTTCTCTTTAATCAAATTTTGTCTCTCTTGAGATAGTTTCCCTTGAAACAAAATCTTTGAATCTATTTTCCTTTAAACAAATTTCGTCCCTCTCGAGACAGTTTCTTTTAGAACTAAGCTTTGTCTCTCTTGAGACAGTTTCCCTTGAAACAAATTTTGTCTCTCTTGAGACAGTTTCCCTTGAAACGAAATCTTTGAATATATTTTCCTTTAAACAAATTTCATCTCTCTCGAGACAGTTTCTCTTGAAACACAAAAAAACCTTTGAAAATGTTTCTCTTGAAACACCAAACCTTCGAGTTCAATTTCGCTCAACTCAAATGCACATCATTTGCAGCATAGCTTAAGTCAAGAAAAGCTATCTATCAACGAAGACCTTTTGAGTTCGATCTCATTCATCTTGAGTGCCTATCAACCACTTGGTGAAGTCAAAGAATTATTTTTCGGTTGAATGTTCAAACCAAGGTCTTTAAACCGAGAAGAATATCGGAGTTGACTACAATTTTGCAACGAGAAGCCACATTCCGATTCAAATTTTGGATTGTGGCTTCAATTCCAATTCAAGATGGACTCGACTCCGCAACTAAGGAGTCATTCACAACTCAACCTCACGACGAGGGAGTCATTTCAGGATTCAATTCAAATTGACAAACCACTCTTAACATCGGATTTCAACTCTCCGACAGAGGACATTCGATATAGACGAAATTTGTGTCTTTTAATCTTTGCTCTATTTTTGTTACACGATAATGAGAAAAGAGGGGCAGCTGACGACACTTAATTTCGTCTGTCCAAATTATAAATTATATATATATAATATTTTTATATGATATTATAAATCATATATGTTTATTTACAATTTAACATATTTGTGTATAGGTCCAAGACCAACAAATCAGGGACAAGGCCCAGCAACCAAAACCCAAGCAGCCCAGACCCAACAGAAACCCTAATCCCATCTCATCCAAGCCAGCGACGTTTCCTGCGAGGACTCTTCCTCACCCGTGCCTCCGGTCTTCACGGCCACACACTCCAACAACCCGAGTTCTCCGGCGCAAGGATCTCGCCATCAACACCAACAACCCACGAAGACAACCAAGTTAGAATAGGAATCAAATGCTCAGCAAATCCTAGGCTATAAATAACGTATGTAATCACCACACAAAAGGGGATGAATTTCATACGATTACACTGAAAATCACGAGACATTACACACGATATCACTACGTTTACTAGAGGAAAAAATCACACACAAGTTTGTACACAATAACACACGATTAAGCTCAAAGAAAATACACCAAAAAGAAAAGGCAACACCCGAAGCACTTGTACTTTTCAAAATAGAAATAAAAAAAGGTATTATTTGTTACCTATTTCGTCTCGATTTTTGTTTGCATGCAACCGTTGTTCTTCGTTTTTGACTCGGAAAACCTGAAAAGGGGTAAAACGGCCAAGGACCCGGGGAGAGGTTTTTCAAAACTTCTTTTTTAGATTTGCTCTCCCCCGAGGCCTATTTTTAAAACCATCGTGATTTTTGGATAGAGGAAGGAAAGAGAGATCAAAAGATGTAAAAATTTTATGGCCACCGTCGATGAATAGTGGCTGGCACCGACGTACAACGGCCTGCGAGGCAGTGGCCTCTTGGAATCTGGGTTTTGGGGGCAGTGTTCTTCGTTTTTATGAAGAACACCAAGAACAGTTCAGAGCATTTGGTGTTCTTGCTTTTGATCTCTTGAAAGGGGGGAAGAGTTATGAAATTATGTTAGAGAGGTTGGGCTTTATACCCTACCCAAAGATCGACCCACGACCCGAGCGGATCCCTTAGGGAATCCGCGAGTTTTCTAATTAAAATGGAGAAACCCCTATTTGGTCCTCCCTTCTTTTAAAGTATTTAATTTTTCCCCTAATTCGATGTTTTCTCTTCGAAATTGGCCCCCTGATTCGTTTTTCTTGCAGATCGGTCCCTTCACGTTTTAACTTTATTTTTTTCCTTATCTTTATTTATGTAAATATTATATTTAATTACAAATATTTTTATTATTATTTCTTCTTTCATCATTATTCATATATATACTTTACTTTTATTTTGTTTTCCCTTTTTTATTATTATTATCATCATATATATATCTTTTGTTTGGTTTACTTATTTTAGTTTATTTTAATTATTTTGTTTTCTACTTATATGGTGCTTATTTTATTTACCTTTCTTTTTTATTACCTTTATTTTATTTTATTTTATCTTTTTATCTTTTATTTATATCTTGATCTCTTTTTATCTTTGTTTCGTTTGTTTATTTTCTTTATTCTTTGTACATATATATTTTATCTTTATAGTACTTATCTCATGTATCCTATTTTCATTTCTATTTTTTTTGCTTCATCTTACTTATTTTCTTTGTTTTATTTTCCCTTATTTATTTCTCTATCTAACGCTTTTCATGGCCTCGTAAGGGTACACTTTCAAAACCAATCGGAAGTAAATGATCAGGATCGTTCTTTTACCATTTAATTTAAACTTTCAACTTTATTGATTAAAGACAACTGGGAATTACGTAGTACCAAAAGGGCAGTTAAAGGGTGTTAACCCTTCCTTAACTGTGACCGACTCCCGAATCCTACATATCTTTGGTAAGATGTAGTTCGGGTAAAAATAAGGTATCCGATCAACCTATTTTTTTTAAAATAAATGATCGGTGGCGACTCAAATCCACATTTTCCAAGTCGAAGTCCAATTCCGGGCCCAACCGAAAGACGGTTGCGACAGCTACAATGGGTTCTGGTTCTCTGGCTGCAATGGCAGTATTTGAATCAAAATACAAAGAAGGCCTTACTGTAAGTTTACCTGTTACATTCTTGTGGTATCTTGACGATTGAAGAGAGAAAACACTTTCATGTTTTCCAACTATAAGTTTTTTTGGGGGTAAAATCTTTTTTAAGACAAATTGTTCATGCATTCATGGTGTAAAGTAATTTAATTCGGTGCAACAGTGTTATATTCTGATTTGTTGATTCTGGGTCACTGATTCTTCTCTTTGCAGAGAGACGAAGCAATAGAACTTGTAACTGAGGCTATATGCTCGGGTATCTTCAATGACCTAGGAAGTGGAAGCAATGTTGATATTTGTGTAATAACCAAGGTTTGTCGTTTACCACCAGCCACATTTTGTTACGTAAGCACATCCTATGTTCATTTTGGAGTTTCTCATTTTTGAATTACATCTCATGGTGGAAAAGAATACTTGAGGAACCATCTTCAACCTAACCCTCGCACTTACACTAGTTCCAAGGGCTATTCTTTTCCCAAGAAGACAGGTCAATAACAATAAGCTTTACAATGTCGATCCTTTATCACTGTATATAATTTCCGTGGTCACTGTGCTAGACTGTTTGATTTCGTTTTATTGTTTCCTTAATTTCTATGGTACAGAGGTCCTCTTGACAAAAATTACACCTTTAAAGGAGAAAGTCGAGATCATCGAGGGAGGAGATGTAATGGAAGAGTGCCACACTTATTTACCATTGTTGGATCAGCTTCCTTTTTAGCTTTAAGCTCTGTCAAGGTACTGTTTATCAGTATTCTTGAATTGTTATGTTTTACTTAGGATTTTGTTGTTTAATGGATTGTTTGAGGTGTTTAGACATTTTAGTTATGATATATGATTCAAATGAAATTATCATTTGTGCATTTCGAACCACCCCAAGTTCTTTCGCTATCTAATTCAGTAGCTTTTGTATTCCTTGTTTTGACGGGCATGCTGCCATTGTTATCATCTGTCATGGGTACAAATTTGAAACTGAGTTCAAATAAATTTAATCAAGCTTTGAATCTCAAATTTGAAACTGAATTCAAAGTCCATCCCAAGCAATCGTAAAATCCAGTTACATTGCTGTCACTCGATGATATGAAAGCATTTAAGCATCATGCACCTGCATGTATGCTTCTGCTAGTAGGCACGAAGAAATTTCTAGTCACCAGAATATCCACTAAAAATTTGAAAGCAATTAAAACAATCACATAAACATGGTTTATCCATTGGAGCTTCGCAAGGTCTTTTTCATAATTTGTATGATCCTTCGGACTATCTCAATGGTTTAAATATGGGGTGAACTACACAAATGGTCACTTATGGTTGAGTAAATTTTTGTTTTCCTACTAAAGTTTCAAAAATAATAAATTGGTCACTAACGTTATTGATTTTTAACAAATCAATCACTCGACATTAACAACTGTTACTGTACTAGGTGGCAGAAAGCAGATATCGCGGGTTAACTATTAACCTGACACCATTTAACTACGATGTGGCGGGTTAATTGTTGCTTGACACCGTTTAACTACGTTGTGACGGTTAACCGTTGACCTGACACCGTTTAACTACGTTGTGACGATTAATTGTTAATCTGACACCGTTTAACTACGAGACAACCATTTTGACCAATCTTTCACCTTTGATTATCTAATCCTATTACAAAGAGACATAAAGATTTAGTGCAAGTGGAAAATGTGTGCATATTTTTTTAGCTTCTCTAACATTTTTTCCCACCATTTTGTCATTGATCTTCAAGCTGTATTCAAATTTTATTTTATCCGTAAAAATCTCTTTTTTAGCTTCTAAATGTTTCCAACTCTTTTTATCATACGAAATACAAAATTCAATCAAAAGATGAACACATAAGTATATTAAAACATTAAAACACATGTGGAATTTATCAAAAACATATTCATAATTACGTTCTAACAAGTTCTCTTGTACTTAGACAATGCATGTTCTCAAGCATATCGTGGTTCAAAGTTTTAAATCCAATTAGTCAAGCAAAAAATGCAACAAGAAATAATTTGTTTAAATTAATGTCTCCTAATATATTTATTTTATGAAATTTGTTAGATCATATAAATTATTCATTATTTTACTTCATGAATAATTTAAAAATATTTTTTCAGAGTAATATGATGTGATAAAATGCATAATATAAAATGTTTATTTATTCATAAAATAATTACAAATGGGGTAAATTCTTTTTCTATTTTGGGCAAAATTTTTATGGTACTCTGAAAGTGGAAAGGTTTGGTAGGATTAGGGAGTGGAAATGAAGCTAAAACAGAAATGCCACGTAAGCTAGTTCCCGCGCAATTCGCTCGCTTCCTTCACAGCAACAACATATAAAAGGAATAGATAAATAAAAGCTTAAAAAAATCTTGCTTTCGTTTTGTTTAAAGTTATCAGATAATTTGATATCGAACTTTCATCGTCTTCCGTTTGATAAATGGATTCTGAAAAGATTGCTTCATTAAGATGTGGATTCAATGATCATATTCCAGTCGAATCTAACGGCTTTGATCATCCAAAAGAATACAATAAGCAACCATTCATCATCGGTTCCATCTCTTTTCAATTCTTCCATACATTATTTTTTGTTTCTTTAATTTTTATATTGTTTTTACTCTCTTTTTTGGATCTAGGAGTTGCTGGAGGAACCGCATCGGGCAAAACGACAGTCTGCAACATGATCATTTCACAACTTCACGATCAACGTGTTGTTCTTGTTAATCAAGTAAATCTTCTCATTTCTATTAATTTTTGCCTTTTTTTTTACTATTTTTCTTTTTTTTAATTATATTTATTCAAATTATTAGGATTCGTTTTATCGCTCACTCAACGAGGAACAATTAGTGAGCGCTCACGAATACAATTTCGATCATCCCGGTGAATCCTTCAAATCAAAGTTCTCCGATTATTAACCTTTTATATGATATAATTTTGAAGTAAATACTTCCGTTTCCTTTAACAGATGCTTTTAATACTGAGCTTTTGCTTTCATGTATGGAAAAATTGAGACAAGGAAAACCAGTTAGCATTCCTAACTATGATTTCAAGACTCATAAAAGCATCGAACCGTCACGTCTGGTAAATGGAAATATTGTCTTTCTTTTTTTTCGCAAGTGAATTTTTATTTTTTTTAAATGAAATCAGAATTGTGTAAGAAATTAGATTTTTGTGTTAATGTAGGTTAATCCTGCCGATGTTATCATTCTAGAAGGAATTCTGGTTCTTCATGATTCTCAAGTTCGAAATCTTATGAACATGAAGATCTTTGTTGATATAGGTTTAAGCGTATTTCCTAATGGTTTTGTTTACTTGATTTGCAAGATAAGTTAGCACTGATATACAGGGTTTTAACCTGCATTGCTGCATGCAGTGTTTTGCTCGTATTGTGATGTATTGAATGCTATATCATAATCAATTTTGATAAATTTTAGTATATTGGAATTAGAAAGGAACGGTAGATTTTTGAATGCCATTAAAATCAAACATACTATACAATTCATTTATCAACATGGCTAACAGATTCTGATGTGCGGCTTGCAAGAAGAATTCAGAGGGACACAGTGGAAAGAGGAAGGAACATTTCGAATGTGCTTGATCAAGTTAGTACTGGTTCTAGCTCGTTTGTCTCATTAATTAATTTATACAATGGCATGGAAAGCTGGTAATATACATGTTTACAGGTTTCAGTAGTGCAGAATCTAGATTGGCATGCAATTAGTGGTTAGGTATTTCTTACCAATCCTTGTATCATTTTTGCAGTATTCAAGATTTGTAAAGCCTAGTTTCGAAGAATTCATACTACCATCGAAAAAGTTTGCAGATATAATCATCCCTAGAGGAGGAGATAATGATGTCGCCGTTGATTTGATAGTACAGCATATTCTTACCAAGCTTGGCCAGCATGATCTGTGCAAAATATACCCAAATATTAATGTTATATTTTCAACATTTCAGGTACAATTCTCTACTATATTTAAAGTGTTTGGTGGCTTCAATGATGTTTTGGCACTGTGTACAGATTCGTGGAATGCACACCCTTGTCCGTGATGTCAAAACAACAAAGCATGATTTTGTCTTCTATTCAGATCGATTAATTCGCTTGGTAATGAGGTCTAAATGAATTGAAATTATAAGTCAAGAGTAATCACAAATCAGCAGGATACAGAATGGTCTCAAAATCCATATTTCAGGTTGTGGAGCATGGCCTAGGGCACCTTCCCTTCACAGAGAAACAGATCATCACTCCTACGGGTAACTGCTAGTATCATGTACAGCAATTTAAACACATTTTTGGTGGCTTCATATCTCCCTGATTTCATGCATGCAGGTTCCGTGTATTCTGGTGTTGTGTTCTGTAAAAGGTTATGCGGAGTCTCGGTTATAAGAAGGTCTAGAATTCGAATCCCAATTTTTTCTACCTTTCTTTTATACCTAGACTGTGTGACCTCTTTGTATCAGAAAAAACGAAGTTGCTTGTAAGTTGTAAACGATATTAACTGAAGAGTTTCCTGATACCAGTGGAGAAAGCATGGAGAATGCACTAAGAGCATGCTGCAAGGGAATAAAAATTGGTAAAATACTCATCCATGGAGATGGAAATAATGGGAGGCAGGTAGGTTGAAAAAAAATAAAATCTGTGTTCAAAGAGTATTCCTCCTATACAGGCACACAATTTCTCATTTGACCATCAACATTTGGTATAGTTAATTTATGAGAAGCTACCGGCAGACATCTCAAGCCGCCATGTCTTGTTACTAGACCCTGTTCTAGCTTCAGGTTAGACAACATAAACTTGTCGCTTTTCTTCCAATTCTACTACTTCTTTTCTCAAATTCTATGAACACTTAGGAAATTCGGCAATCAAGGCTGTATCTCTGCTTCTTAGTAAAGGCGTTCCGGAAACCAGCATCATCTTTCTTAATCTTATATCAGTAAGTTCAGATACTTTCCCAAATTCATGTGTATATACTAAGCAACTGTGTATCCGTATCCTTTTCGTATTATGTTTAAATATAATCTTTTTGTATCGTAGTTGTTGAAAATATGAATTTTGGTTAAGTGCAGGCACCAGAAGGCATCCATGCTGTGTGCAGGAAATTCCCGAAGCTAAAACTTGTGACATCGGAGATTGATTCATCACTAGATAAGAATTACAGAGTGATTCCAGGTATGGGGGAGTTCGGGGATCGCTATTTTGGCACTGATTAATTATGATTTTGGTTCCTATGAATCACATTGAATCTACACCATTAAAACGTACTTTTAAGATATCGACTCTCTCTAGCTAGTTTTGCTCAAATCATCCCAACTGTGCGTTTATCTTTTCTACCCGGACTGGACAAGAATTCTTATGAAACAAAAAAATATATCATTGTAAGTGCAATTTTTAACACTTGCATTTCTTTTTTATTTAAGGCTTACTGGATGGTTTAACTTCGGAACTATATTTGTCTCGCTTCACACAATAATTTTATTCTGTCACAATTTAATACTTGAAGTCTCATATTGCTAACTAATTTATTTTGATGGTATTCAAAAATCAAATAAAATGTGTAACTTCTCAAAACCGACCACTGACATTTTTAATTAAATGAAAAATGATACTAACTTTGATTATTAATCTTAAAAGTTATATTTATTTGCACAAACCAAACAATCTCAGTGGTTAAAAGAATGATTATTATTCTTAGAGGTCCCGAGTTAGAGTAACAACAATAGAAATATATTTAAACGTTTATCGTTAAATGATTGAGAGTTTTTAGAATATATACTACCACTTATAAAAACCCTAGATTAATTTAAATTTGTTCAAAAAAATCTTAAAAAGTTAAATATTTTAAAATTAAAAATACTTTTTGAAATGAATATTAGAAAACACAATTAACTTTCACAATCCATTTATCATTTTTTATTTTTTTTGTTTTTTATTTATCTTTTAGAAATTATATACAGATTTGTTTTCGGAAAATTACCTTTTTATATTTTTTAGAAAAATAAGAATTTTAAAGCTATTTTATCTTTTATAATATGTTTTGTATTTTTCACATATTGTTAATTTATATTTATATATTCTATAATTATCTAAAAATTAAATTCTTTTAATTTTCTTTAAAAATTTCTGAACTTTCATACTTTTAAAAACTATTTTAAATTGTATATTATTAAAAATAAAAAAAAAAAGAAGGTAAAGAGACACATGTGCGTCACCCGTGAAGATTTTTTTCCATCGTCGTTGATTAAGGGTTCGTTTTTTTTTTTTTGACTAAAATAAATTTTATAATAAACTAAATTTTCTCAAAAATAGTTTATGAAAATTATTTTTACGGTATTTGAATGAGGTTGTGTAAATTATTTCTCACTAGTTGGTAAAGTTTTTAGAAATAATTTATTATAAATATTAAATATAATAAATAATATTATTTATTACAAAAAACTTATTATTATTTTTAAAATATTATAATAACTTATTTAATATTATTTATCAAAATATTATTATTAAAATATTATTATTTTATAAATTTATAAATATCATATGTAGTAAATATTATTATTTATTATAAAAAGGATCGGTATAGTTTGAAAAGAATTGATCTCTGGGACAAAAGGATCAATGTCTTATTCTCTATCTAAATTTTTTAGAGCTTAATGAAATAAAAAATATCGATCCCTCAAATTGAAAATCGTAATTTTTTTTTAAATTGTTCTTTTAAAAATTAAATAAAATGTGTAACTTCTCAAAACCGACCACTGACATTTTTAATTAAATGAAAAATGATACTAACTTTGATTATTAATCTTAAAAGTTATATTTATTTGCACAAACCAAACAATCTCAGTGGTTAAAAGAATGATTATTATTTTTAGAGGTCCCGAGTTAGAGTAACAACAATAGAAATATATTTAAACGTTTATCGTTAAATGATTGAGAGTTTTTAGAATATATACTACACTTATAAAAACCCTAGATTAATTTAAATTTGTTAAAAAAATCTTAAAAAGTTAAATATTTTAAAATTAAAAAAGTTTTTAAAATGTTTTGGGAGTCACCATCGGCCTTTTGGGTCAGGTAGGTCGAATACCTAAAAATTATCTTTTAAAAGAGTTTTTAAGAAATATCAGTTAAAAGATAAATTGATCTTCGTTTAACCAAAAATTTATTCTTTTTAGAAATAAAAAGGGATTTGTGGTCGGTTATGTTTAGGGAAGGATTAGCACCCCTACAACGCCCAAAATTAGTACTTATTAATTATAAATTGTCTCTATTATTAGAAATTAAAAATTCAAAGATATATTTAATTTATAATCCTGTTATTTCAAATTTATTAATATAATTGAAAGAAAATATATATATATAATAACATATTTATTTATTTAGAAATATCAGAAAAGGGTTTCTAGGTGCTTTAAGACAGCTCTTTCTTTTGATATTAAAAAATAAATAAAAAATAAAAAATTATTTTAATATAGTAAGATATTTATTTATTTAAAAATATTAGAAAAGGGTTTCTAGTTGCTTTAAGACAACTCTTTCCTTCAATATTAATAAATAAATAAATATTAAAATATGTAATAATTTTTCCTAAAAATAATTTAAATAAAACTTAATTATAATTTTTATAATATTTAATTATTTAAAATACCAGAATAGGACATCCAGTTGTATTAAGACTGCACTTTTCTTTGATATTGAAAATAAATAAATATTATTATTTAAAAATATATATATTTATGTGACTAATATGAAAATAATAATATAAAAGTAATAACAAAATAATAAATAAATAATGATTAAAATAAATTAAAAAAGCAATAATATTAATTTGCAAAATATAAAAAAAATCAGGGTCAAAAATGAAAAGAAACAAAATATTGGTGACTAAAAAGTAAAATATCAAAATTAAAGGGCATATTTTGAATTATTATAAAAATATAATTACTAATAGTGTAATTTAAACTAATTAATTAATAGGTGATTAAGATAAATATTAATTAAACTATGAGGGACTAAAATGGGTATTTACCCTAATATACATATAAAATACAAGTAAGGACTAAAACATAATAAAATAAAATTCGAAGACTGAATTAAAACGTTCAGAAGTTAGTTTCAGTGACTGAAATGAATAATTACAAAACTCGGATGGTGGAGGAAAAGGTTTACCCATCAGCGAAATTACAGAAACACCCTCCCCAAAACGGCATCGTTTAAGAGAGGGTATTTAAACCCAAAACCGGCTGGCCCTACGGGCCATTGTTCTCATTTCTTCATTTCCTCTTCTCTCTAAAAAATAAGAGAACCAGAGTTCTCTCTGGCTTCTCTCTAAAATGAGAGAACACAGTCCCGGTCAGCCACCGCTTCCGGGCTCCGACCACCGCTGCCAGCCACCATTAACGGTGGCCGAAAAATTCTAAAATATACCAAAACGAGGCCCTAAATACCCTAAAACCAAAACCGAGGCCCGTTTAGCCTAAAAATCTTTAACCCGGCCTATATCTAAGCTTGTTAGCTTCGATATTTTGGTTTTTTAACAGCGTAGGGAGGCCTCGATGACAATAATCTCCTCGGTAAGTCTCTCTCTTTCTCTTACTTTCTGTTTTTCTCTTGGGTTGCTGTCGTGGTTATTGTCTGTGTCTTCTGTTGTGGCTTTCTCCGTTCTTACTCGCTGTCGTAGCTCTCTGTCTGTTCTTGCTTTCCGTGGTTGTCTCCTCTTTTTCCTTCGCATGTATAGTGGCTTTTTATAGCCACCACGGAGCCTTGCGCGGACCGGTCATGAAGATGGGTTTCGGTGAGTCACCATAGCTATGGTGGTGACTCACCATAGAGTTCGACGTGGGGAGATGACGAGGCGCTTCTGGAGGCTTCGATGGGACGTGGCAGAAGATGGAACGTCGGCTTGGAGATAACAGAGGCGGCCATAGTTCCTTTGGTCCAAGGTGGCGGCTGGGAGCTAGGGTTTAGAAAACCCTAGCTGAAACCCTAAATTGGTTTAGGGTTTCAGTTAGGCCATCTGGTTAGGCTTCCAGATTTGTAATTGGTCCCCAATTTTTGCCTATTTGTAATAATAATAATTTTAATAATAATAATAATAATAAATAAAATAATAATAATAATAATAAAAACAATAAAAAAATGGGTAAAAAATTAGTATCTTCAGCTGCCCCTCTTTGCTCATTCATGTGTTAACAAGAATATAGCAAAGACGAAAAGATAATAAATTTTTTTATCCATTTGACTTCACTTGATTATGATGGCAATGTTGAATAATTTATTCTTTGGGATTAGTTCTTCTAATTATGAACTTTTCCATTGGGGATGACAATTTATCTTCTTCTGTGATGTAATCTAGCAAAGGTTGAACAAGCTCTTCTCATTTTGAACTTCTTCTTCTTCGGATGAGTTCTTCTCATTATGAACTCCTTCTGGAAATGCTGATGAAGATATATATCCTTCTGTGATAGAGTCATTCAAAAGGTCGAACAAGCTCTTCTCATTATGAACTTCTTCTTCCTTCTTCAGAAGAGTTCTTCTCATTATGAACTTTCTCTGGAAATGTTGATCCATCAAATGATGAATTCAAACAAAAGGTTGAACAAATTCTTCTCATTATGAATTTCTTCTTCCTTCTTCAGATGAGTTCTTCTCATTATGAACTTTCTCTGGAAAAGCTGATCCATCAAGTGATGGATTTGAGCAAAAGGTTGAACAAGCTCTTCTCATTATGAACTTCTTCTTCCTTCTTCAGATGAGTTCTTCTCATTATGAACTTTCTCTGGAAAAGTTGATCCATCAAGTGATGGATTTGAGCAAAAGGTTGAACAAGCTATTCTCATTATGAACTTCTTCTTCCTTCTTCAGATGAGTTCTTCTCATTATGAACTCTTTCTGGAAATGTTGATCCATTGTGATGGATTTGAATCTTTGCTAAAATCTTTGAAATTCCTGTTAACATTTAACATGGATAAAATGAATGGAAATGCACCTATTTTTGCAAATGCCTAAATATGATGCATGAATATTAAGTTCATTTTTATTTGATTTCAAATTGGTGAACTCGGTCTTCCTTCACTTGGTCAAAATGTCATTTCAAACTGCATTTCTGATTTGGAAGAGCAATCTTTGTGCCTTCTTTGCTTCATTTAAGTCTCGGAAGAAATGTTTCATTTATGGAACTCTTGCTGTAATCAAAATTATAACCTTGATGCCCCATTTTGTCTTGGATAAAACCAACTTTCTCTGCTTGGACTTGTG